GAGGCCACCAACAAAGAGGGGAGAAGGAGAAGCAGCAGCAGCTCCGTCTGGGTGATGGCGAAATTCCCTTCTCCCCACCGCAGCAGCTCCGCGACCCAGCAAAAACTAAAATGTCTTTTCCCGAAGCCGAAGAAAGCCAGCCAAAAACTGTCCCCACCCTCCTTTCCTGCCCCCTTCCCCCCCCGGGCCCGGCCACTCTTTGTCCTTTATCAATCACCCACTAAATACCCACAGTTAGGTTGTCTCCGCAGCTAATGGGTAAAAATTCCACGGGCAGGTCAGAACGACAAAATAAAAAAAAAAAGGACACCTAACCCTCAACACTGTAATGCAACTATCAGCTTGGCTACAGACTAACAAGAAAGGGTGAAGGAATCCTCTGGACTTAAGTAGGTGAGTTTTATTTCCATAGTCTCTACAAAAATAGCAACTGAGTGAGGATTCTACAAGTATTTCATTCTACCTTATTCTACGAGTGATTTCAGGTAACTGCAAAACACCAAGGTTGTCTGATCCTTCAGGCTGAGGATCTTTAAAGCACTCATAATCTCTAACAGTCATAGAGCCAGCACTTCTTTTAGCACACTGGATAGTCAGGGAAGCAGTATGTAATTCCACTTGGCCACATAAACCGTTTCACAAACCAGCAGTGCACACATCAGAGGAAAGTCATTTTTCAGAGACTGCTACTAACCAGCAAAGCTCTGTGATGTGCAACAAGCATCAGAGAGCTCATTTAATCCTTCTGGGGAACACAGAATCATAGAGTAGAACATATAATAGCCAGGGTACAAAAATCTTAGTTATTTGATTTTTCATTTTGTTTTCCTGAATTCATCACTGCTTCACAGAAAGAAAAGCACAGGGCTTAAGGATGTTATAGCAGAGTATTGTGATATTGGCTTTCGCAGGTATTAAGATGAATATTATATGTTAAATACTTTTTAGCTATGTATGTACTTTTTTCTTGCTAACAAGTTTTAAGCTTAAAAGAATTTCCTAGGTACAAAGCAAGGAAACCCCAGAGGGCAAGGACAGTGGGGCCCAAGCTGCTTATCAGGAGAACAATAGAGCCCAAACTGTTATCAGCAGAAGATATGAAGCCCAGCTGCCCTCAAAGGAAGGATGAGTGGCCCGGACTGTTATCAATACTTACCATTTGCAGAAGAAAAGAAACCAGACTCAAAATAATGTTGGTCAGCAAAAATAATGATGACCAGCAGAAATAATGATTGTCAACAAACATGTCGGCAAACAGATCATGTTCTAAATAGGTGGAACCAGGGAGGGGACATGCTAAATACTTGTTGAAAAAGTTTGAATATGCATTAAACTCTCACAGCAGGAGGGGATAAAAAGAGTGTTCCTGAGATACCAGGTGTGTTCCTGGCAACCCCCCAGGGCACCTGGCCATTTTAACCCTTTGCTTTATTTCTTTTGTCTCCTAATTGTCTTTTTGTTTATATTAAACTTTTTATAATTTATTAAGTGAATCTTGTTTTTAATAAGGACATTTAATGACAGCATTTTGGTCTCCTCTAACACGTGCTGCAAACACATCAACAGTAAAGGATGCCAATCCCTGCACTGGTGTCAAATAAGACACTGATTGGATTCCTCATCTCTAAAATGGTAAGTTATTTTTATTGAAAGATAGCTTTTCATAAAACAAATATTTCTAAAGATACAAATGCTGATGTGCTGAGAAGATTGATGTACAGTACTCAGGAAACATCAGCTGATGCCAACAGACAACACAGGAAACTACTTATATAATGGTGATAATTAAACAATACTAAACTCATTCAACACAGCTCATTAACAGACTTCAAATATGCCAACAAATACCCTGCCTTTTCTAACTCCCAGAATGCAAATGAGTATCTTCCCGTTTCCTTACTACAAGGACTTTAACACTTGCAGTATGACAACTTGCACAGATATGAGATCTAAGATTTTTCTTGAAGAAGTAAGAGTTGAATTTGAAATGTACAAAATGTTGGAGAGCTTCAACTGAGAGGTCTACACTGGCTGCTGAACAATGGAGTCAATGTAAACACTGCTACCCTTTTACTCTCTCTTCATGCATCTCCTCATAATACCTTTATTTTTACTTGAATGAAAAAGGAAAGCAAAGAGCACTAAGACTGAAGGCTTCTTACAGTTCAGAGAAGAGTGAAGTTCACTGTGCAGCATCTGAATCCTCTCAGTAGCAAATTCAGGTAGCAAGGTCCTCCTACCTGGCTTAAAGTCAAAACAAGCATGAATACCAAACCTGTTTGGAAAAAATAACAGTCAAAAGAAAACAGTGGGAGTACAGAGACCTAACTTGACAGGACTGCTGTGTGCAGCAGTTGCTAAGAGCAGCAGCTGCATGCAGGAACAAAAAGAGCCGAGAAAATCATGGTGAAAAGGAAGCACAGGAACAGAGGCAGGCACAGGCTTGAGAGGAAGCTGGAAGGAGTGCTGTGACACACAACATGGAGAATTTTAACAGCAAGCTGCTACTCAGAGCTAGATTAAAATGGCCTTGGCATTGTGTAAGAATGGTAAAATCCCCAGTAGCTGCCCTGCTTGGAAGAAAACCTAGTTAGCAACTATATTCCTTCATTCATCTAGAATTTTTTCCACATCCTATTCCATATGCCATTACAAAAACACTGTGCTAAGAGTTCTTATGGGCATCACAAGGCTCAAATTATCAAATTCAGTTTCATGTGTGCTACCACTGGTAATCAACAAAATACTGTCCTTGATGTCTCAGGTGAAGGAATAACACAGAAAGTAGCAGGTGAAATATCTACTTCCATCCACTAGCTGGAGGAAAGTTTTTTATTTCTGAAGAGATTTTATTAATGGCCAGTTGTTCATCATTTTGATGTGGGGTAAAAAGGACAAAATAAAAGGCCAAGAACATGAAGCAATCAGAACTACTGGTGGAAGACTCTACAGCTCTTGTAATAGTAAAACACCCCTGAAATAGCAGTGATGAGTAGAAATGTTGAGAAAGACATAAGAATAAAGAAGGTGACATATCACACCCATCTAAATACTATACAAGGAAGTTATTGAAGTGTTCCAGGTGGACTTAAAACATGTATGATATAAGAAACTGCATTAAACACATTTAATGAGGTCATACAGACTGCAAACATCATATCAACTCTGTTATACATACATTGTTCACAAAAATTACTCTGATGTTTCTGTTTTAAGAAAAATACAGCCTGTTTGGCAGAGCTTTTTCTTATTATTTCAAGCAGACCATGAAAACAGAAGGGGGAAAACCCCTAGTCTACAATCCTTAAAAGTTTTGTAGACAAATCTTGTACATACAGATTTAAACATCTGTGCCCAGAAAGGGTTCTTGGATGTTGTCTACGTTTGGAAGACAGGTGTTTGCTAGGGAAGAGCCTCCCACAGAATGAAAATTTAGACCCCTCCCTCTGAATTATTATAATTCTGAAATCAAGGGGTTCTCAGGCAGAGATCTGGGGACAGGAATAACAGTTCTTTACTGTCTATTTATAACAAGGCAAACAAACAACAATAACTACAGCATTAACAAGAAAACAGAACCAGGGACCCCGTGACAGCTTTCTCGGCTGAGACGGGAAGGGATGGAGGAGAGGCTTTGTTTCACAAACCCCCTCGGGCAGTCAGTCCCGGTGCTCCTGCAGGGCTCTGAGGAACAGTCGGCTGGAACAGCAGGGATGAGCTGAGATCCTGGGCTGGTGGATGAGGTGGATCAGCAGCTTTGTGGTGGTGGCTGGCACTGCCATGTCCCGGCAGGACAGGGGGTGCCAGGCCCACAGACAAAGAAAGACAGAAGAAGCAGCAGCAGCAGCAGCAGCTCCATCTGGGTGATGGTGAATTCCCTTCCCCAAACCACAACTCCCAGCGAGTTTTCTGCTCTGAAGCTGAAGAAACCAGCCAGCCCCCACCTGCCCCCCTGCTTTTTCCTGCCCCTCTTCCCCACTGGGCCCAGTCGAACTCTTTGTGTTTCTCAAGCACCCAACAAGTACCAGCAGATCTCCTTGCCACTAATGGGCAAAAATTCCACAGGTGAGACAGAACAAAAAGGAAAGACACCTAACCCCCTAAGAGATGTCAGTGAAAAAGCAGACATGTACTCAGCAAAATAAAGTATGTCTTTCATGAAGAGAAACCCTTTCACCACTGCTCTAAGGCAAAATCAGTGAAGCATGAAGACTAGAGCACAACTGTATTTCTCACATTCAAGGAGGGGCATACAACATTAGAAGATAGCAGGTCTGGAGTATATAAACAGAAATACATTATTCTCGTTAATTAAATTGTAGGCCCCATTATTACAGGATGTTGTGAAGGATAAATGGGTTCTAAAAGAGATTAGATGAAGTCACAGAGAACAAAAGGTCTGTCACAAAACATTAAACACAACTGTCAGCTGGGCCAGAGAGTATGTAATTGCTGTCTGCTGAAAGGTGCTGTGATATGCTTGAGAAAGGATCACTTTATACACAACCAGGCTGCTGTAATACATCTCCTCCTCCAGCTGGAGACAGAATAGTGGGCTTGGCAGACCCTTCCTCTGATCCAAGATGAAAGCTCTTTATCCACTCTTCCTTCTTCCACTGAGGCAGGTCTGCAAATACTGCCTTATTAACCTTTGAACATTTTGTCTTTTTTCAATAAATTATTCTGTAAGATCTTCCAAAGGAGTTACAGTAATGCCTGCAAGCTGAGAGGTTCATTATATATTACACTGACATTTAAGGGATTTTGGACAACTTCAGATCAATCCAATAAATTGGGAGCAATGGGTTGTCAAAAACCGTATCACCAGAAATTAATAATTCTGTGGTACAAAGGATTTTCTTGAATCTCAGTAGCAAACTTCATTAGAAACCTCATGTGGACATGATGGCTTTAGACTCAAGGACAGTAGGTTCAGATTGGATATTAACAGGAAATTCTCCCTTGTGACCTTGTGAGATACCATAAAAGGTTACCAGGAGAAGCTGTGGATGCCCCATCCCTGGAAGTGTCCAGTCAGGTTAGAAGGGGCCCTGAGCCACCTGGGCTAGTGGAAAGTGTTCCTGCCCATAGTAGGGGGTTGCAAGTGGATGATCTTTATGGTCCCTTTCAACCCAATCCCTTCTTTTGTTGTATGATTCTACGGCAGCAGATAATTTGTTCCAGTACACATGCCTAAAAGGGATTCTACAATGTGATGGCATTAAAGAAAACAACAGCTATACAGTACAACTGACCCTTATTATTGCTTCAGTCTTCTATCAAATGCAATGAATCACCTTTTAAGTTCACTCATTGAAGTTGCATGTATCTGTATTAATTACTCTCTTGGTCTGTGTAAGTAGCTTGAGCGTGTGAAATAGAGCAAAAGCCTTGTTCAGGAGATTCTTCTGCTGGGAGGAAGTACTCTCAAACAGCAAAGTTAAAGATAATTTCACTCATGAGGTCCCAGACAATGCCCAAACCTTATGGTCTGAAACCTAAATCTCAATTTGTAAAAAATCCCATCTGATTTAATTTAAAATTCCTCAAAACACAGCTTTATTTCCAGTAATCTTTCCTCCTTAAGAAAAGAAACAATTTCTATATGAAACTGCCTCCCAAAACGCTGTTTTTGTTTGTTTAGTTTGGTACTTGGCTTTTTAGGATTCTTCTGAAGTTCAATTCTTATGTCACAGTCCTAGGCTGGAGCCAGGTCCAACAGAAATCACTGATGGTTGCGTGACAAATAGCAGGGTTTATTGTTCAGAGCCCCCTTTTATAGGGGGTTCACAATGCCTGCACTTGGACAATTGAGTGGCTGGGGTCTTTGCACTGCCCAGCTCCTTGGCTAATGTTATGTCTGCATTCAGGATGGAATGGGATTGGCTGGGGTGCCCAGTTTGAGTTCAAATCTATCCTATCATTGCTCACCCGAGGACCAGTTTATTCCTTTTCTAGAATGAACTAGGCAAGCCAAATTAAGTTTTGTATTTATTGCTAAATTTATATAACCAGCTACAGACCAGCTGTGCTGTGACATTCAATCATTTTTAGTGCAGCTGGAAGTCTTCGCCTTCAGAAACAGATGTCAGCAAAAGAGGGAAGACAACTGATTTTTACAAACATCTTAAGAAAAGTGCTCTAATTGCAGATGAACACAATTTTTGGATTAATTTGCTTTAAACTAATGTTAATAAAGTGTTAACAATTCAGACCTTTTGTTTTATTTTTGCATCAACAATGACTTTATTAAGAACAATACAGTTTTTGGTCTCCTGCACAGAAGTTGCATCCCCACTACTCTTTTTCCCCACGAGTCATTTCTTCATTGTGAACTACATTTTATGTAGCCATAGAATCAGAGAATCATTGAAAGGCTTGGGTTGGAAGGAACTTTAAAGATCATGTACTTTCAATCCCCTGCCATGGGTAGGGGCACCTTCCACAAGGCCAGGTTGCTCAGGGCCTTGAATCCAAATGTCTGTCCATTGACAGAACAGACCAACACAACAAATACTTCAGCTGCACACAGAAATCTTTTCTCCAACTGAAGTGAACAAAAATAGGCAGTTCTGCATGTTTTAAAATATCTGCCATATGTAGATGTATAAAATACAGCACCAGAAGAAGCACTGGAATAGGATGGTGGAATCACCATCCCTGGAAGTATTAAAAAAAAAACAAACCAGTCTGGCACTTAGTGATATGGCTTAGGGGACAGGGTGGTAGCTATTAGAAGGCTGTCTTGATGTCTTGGAGGTCTTTTCCGACCTTAATGATTCTATGATCCAAGACCCAGTATGATTTTTGGAATTCGGTATTTTTGGTTATAAATTGTACTATTACTCTGAGGGAAATCTTATGCAGACAAAACCCTGAAGTATTTTACAGCAAAGCACTTTTCATATATGTTAAAATACACAGGCTCTGATTGAAGAGTGCCCTCAAGTGAATCCAAGTTTCCCCAAGTTGCACTGACAATCTGGATAATTCTTCCAAGAGTTTTGGCTCTGATGAGAGAATCTTAAGATGTAACTGAAAATGAAAACAAGAAGTTAGTGAAACAAATACAGATAAAAAATTTTAAATACATTTTCCCCCCCATTCAATTCCAACACTTTGCTTTCAGGAAATGTCCCAAATAAGAAAAAGACACTTTTCCTTCAATTAATTTCCACTATTTAATACTGTCTCCTTTTTGCTAGCCTTTACAAGCCATTTTTCATGTACTAGATGGGATAAGGCAGCAAAATGTCTTAAATATGTGATATTTTTATTAGATACTCTTCTGGCAAGGTTGCTGAACCTATTCTCATCACACACTTCCCTAGAGGGTAACTTTCTCCACTTTCTGACCTGCATCACAAATTCCTCTTTAGGGTAGAAAGGCTAGACAGATGTGCTAAGGTCAATCAGGATTATTATTTTAATTATCCATGTTGCACACAACAAGAAGAATGATGGCAGGACACACTACAGTGATAGAGGTGGATGAGGTCTCCTTATGTGACAAACAGCAACCTTGTTAGAGCAGAAGGAAGAGAAACCTTCTGACCTTGCAGAAACTATTACTGCTTAATGGATGCAATATTTATTTTCCAGGCTACAATTTAAGTCTAGGAGCCCTGATATTGAGCTTTAGTTTGTAAGACAGTAGGTTCAATCTGGATATTAGACAAAATTCTTTACTGTGAATGTGGTGAAGCACTGGAACAGGCTACCCAGAGAATTATAACAATGTTTTCCAAGTAAACTGTTATTAATTGCTTTCACATGATTTCATAAATCAGAGCATCTTAAGCACTTGTACATCAGAAGGGTGTCAATCTTCTGCAGGCCACTTTTTGTCTCTAGAGTAACTGTTACCATTATTCAGTAGAATAACTTTTTAACTTACACATGCCCTGGCATGAGTTCATTAGCTCTGCCATACTCAACAGGTAACACAAGGAAGGCAGCCCACTGACATAGAAAGTAGGTCAGGCTTGCAATGTCTAGTGATAAATCCATCAAAATGTCTAATTTACTTCCCAACCATTGAGTATCTTTGCTTGTTTAAGACATACCTTAGTTTAACAATTAACAACCACTAAGAAGTTAGGCATGTTACAAAAAACCAGAACCAGTTCTAAGTAAGGAATAGTAGAACAAAACCTGTCTGGCAGGGCCCTCTTCACAACATCTTTTGTTTTGCAAGTTTTTCTTGACAGTCACTAAATGAGTTGCCAAATCATCCAATGCATTTAGTTAGACATTTTAAACCATTCTCAACAAAAAATCCCTTCAGATAATTCAAGAAGACAATTTATACTTTTTTACTGCATAACCATTATTTTAAATATGACTAACATAAATTTTATAAGAAAATTGTTACCTTTAAAAATAGCGCCAGGTACGCCTGAGCGAGTTCGAAGTTGTACTTCTTGTTCAGCATCATTCCAATCATTTTCAGAAAGCTCAGCATCACTTCCATTGAGCCACCCCCTTCAGGGGCCAAACCCCGCAGTTCTACCTCAATATTAGATGGCCCCAAGCTTTTCAGTAAGTCAAGTGGAACTTTATCTGTTAGAACATTGAGGGACACAGTATCAGTAACATCTGCAAAACAGAATCTAACAGATCCTTCATAAGACAGGCTTATTCTAAAATTCTTAAGCAGTGACCATGAATTTCAAGTTGCTACTGCTTCCTTACTTTTTTGTTTTCAACAAAATGTCTCCCTGTCTTTAATTTACTGGCCTACCACATACTAGAAGTACACATGCACTTTATTTGTAATTGGAAAATACAAGTAATATCTCTGTATTTGTTTCACTTTTTCCCCTCTTCTAAGTTAAACAAAATTTCTAATTAGTCACATAACATTGATTAATTAGTCACATTTATTAGTGATTTATTTTTTAGTCATAATTAGTCACATTTCATATCTCTTGGCAGAAAGAATCTACATACTTGAGATTTTGAACCATTAACTGTGAATATACTCTGAAAGACAGAGCACTACTTTTACTAGGCATCTTTACTCTAGTTTACATTAAGCAAAACTAGAGATTTTCTGATGCATCCAAAAAAATTATTACTTTTGTTAAGTGCTTGTCTTATGCTGAAGGGTGATAGGGGAAAATCTTTTCCATAGTAGAAATACATGTAATTTACAAACTTTCTTCCTCTTCATAATTGTTCCTTCTCAGGATTTCTACCATCCTACCTGATCACCTATGAGGATTCTATCCATTTGCTTTAAAAATGGAAGTAGCAAAAATGTTTGGTTGCAAATGCAACTTTTTCATTTTTAAAATGTATCTGATTAGTATTTCTTTTACTAAGAAGTTGCTATGAAGACCAACTTCATGGTAGCTAATAGTATTACACATTGATTAATATTCCTCAGGTGGTATAAATTGATATTTGATTCTTACAAAAATCATTAGTTTTTAGTTTTAAATATAACTGATTTTAAAAGTATTAAACAGATGCATTAAGTACAATTTTTTTATGAAATTAAACAAACAAAGCATAGAACATGCTACGAAGTTGATATACATACAACATGGGAAAGGCTGCAGCTCAGTCTATCTGACCTGAGGTATGAAACCCCGTTTCCATCCCAACAGTAAACCAGGATGGTTTCCAGCAGGATTCTTTTTATTTGCACAGTCCAGCCACCTTTAGAAGAGATGATTGCAATCCAGCTAACAAAGAGCCATGCTCCCCATCGGCAGCTTGCCCAGCCAGGATGACCAGGCTCCCTGGATCATGGATGGCTGTGGCACACACCCTGGAGCACACCTGCCTTACAGCACACGTGGCCTGAGGCAGGTCCATGTGTCCTCTACCACCATGCATCAGAGTGCACTTGTTCCCTAGTAGAGCCTCTGCAAAGTGTTCAAACACTGACCTTTTTTGAGTGGCTCTGAGGCACTTTCATAGAGCACTGTCAATCAAAATACTGAAAACAAGGCATAAGAACACACCCTGTTTGTGACAGGTAAGAAAGTTCTGCACACAAAACGTTTTAAGTGCACTTGAGTAAGCTGGTGATCTCAAGAGAGTTTAAGCAGAAGAATTCACAACAGAACTGCTTTATGGGCAAGCTACTTTCCCTTCACATTTCCAAGTCAGCTGTATTAGCAAACATTTAAAAAATCTGAGTTTCAGTAATTCTGTAACATCACAAGATAAACATGATAAACAGCTGGTACATTTCACAGGTTGTTTAAGTGACTGAATTTCAAAACAAACTGAATGTTCAAAGAAATCCAAATCTTATTTTTATATCATTTATTTCTTCTTAAGCTTTAAATTATAGGGCAATGAATTAACACTAAGTTTGCTGAATGTCTGGGGAAGCAGCCCTTGAAAGGAGAATTTGCTACGCACATTATGCTTTCCATGTTTCAGTGAATCACCAATCACTGTTCCTTACCAAGTCAATCCCTTCCTTCTTTCCTTCCCTTCCCTAGAAATGATACATAGCATCTTTTCTGAGTGATATCATCACAGTTTTCAAAAAAAGTTAATGATCTTGGGAACACAACCTTCTTTCTTCAGAAGTGTTTTTGCCAGAATTGGGTTCCATGCTGCAGACAAGCTGCAGTACCAATGGATTTTTGATCTAGTCTGGCTGTGCATTAATTTTCTTTGCCTTTTATACTGTACTACACATATCCTTTTTCTCACATCTGTTGCAATTCTGACATTAGAAATCACACATATATCAAAATAAAAGCAGCATCAACACTTTTAGTGAAATATTTTGTTAACTTACATTCGTTGCTGCTCAGGGCTTCTTCAAGATGAATGTAGAAATCAGATTTCTGCGCCAGTACCCCAAGATTTACCACCTTTGACTAGACCACAAAAGCACAGCAGCATGTCCATGAATATGCAAACATTTTTACAACTCAATTACATTATTCTTCTACTAAGCGAATAAGACTTTGAGAAATAAAGCAATAATGTAGTGAGTTAAAACTGGTACTTTGAAGTCTAGTGATTTAACCCAACACTAAAAAGCATTTGAGAGTTCTTTTAAAATACACTACATAAACACAATTACATTGATTCTTTTTTTTACCTGTGTATCATTTTCCTCCTCTGGTGGAATGTAGCGGGGTATGAGACCAGGAAGTGTTGGGATGAAGAAAGGTGCCGTCTTTGGAACTTTTGGTGGCTCTCTTGGTTTGTTTTTTTTCTGTTAATCAGATATTTGAATTAAAGTCATTATCATCATTATGATCACAGTAAGAGCATTTTGTTTGTCAAGAGTTTAATTTTATAAATACTGTGAAAACTCTAAATACTAACTGAAAAGTAAATAGACAAGTAAAATCTTTTACCACTAATTATGAAGCTACTATTCAGCAGAAAAACAGCCCCTCTCCCAAATCCCAGGAAATGTGAAAAGCACCACATAGACTTCTACTGCAACATCTTGAAAAATACCTGGAAGCAGGATCAAGTTTCATGAATAGGTAATGCATTTCAAAGAAACAGGGTAAATATTATGGATGTTTGCTATTTTTTGCTGTTTCAGTACCTTGATAATATCAAGATTGAGGAGATTTTTCCACCTTGATTCCGGTAACAAGGAAAGGGTCACCAGCTGCTCTCCCAGTTGCTCAGGTGAGACATATTCTATCATTTCATCACATGCCTCTTCATCTCCTGACACATCCATATCTTGCAGAAACAGATATCTTTTATGAACATTCATACTCTATATTCATTTTTTAAAAAATCAAGCCCAACACTTTTATTTATTTTGCAATTTTTAATTATAACAAATAACAAATTCATGATAGCTATAGACATAGATGCTAACATAACACGGAGCTGAAAAGCTATAGAAACAATCTGTATTAGCCTTATGAAATATTAAACAATTTTAAAAGATTATAGCTAAGATGAAGAATTTAATAACCAAAATTTTAAAGACTGATAAGATTTGTCTACTTTGACTGAAGTTACATAAAAGCAGTTTACAGACTTACTAAGAAAAATGAAATTTTGACACCAGTCTATTGTTTTAACTATATAAATAAATACACAGTAATTTTAGTTCTGAGTTATAAAGCTGTGAAATCCTTGCATTTAAATCCTTGCACCATATTCACTACCTAATCACAACCCCTTCATAGGTATGACTGAAATGGCATGTAAAAGTGAAAAAGTCTCAACAATAAAGCACAACATCCCACAAGAAAAGTTATATTGTCAGTCAATTGTTATAGTGATTTTCCCTTTATTTCCTGTGTGGTCTCGAGAAAACACATCTACTTTCCTTTCTTTTTGTAAAATACTACTTGGCTAAAACAATTAATCTAATAGTCAAGCCTGAAACAACAAAGGAACATAACCCATTAAGAGCCCTTAGCATCTAAACAGGAACTTTACATTTGCTGAAGACACAAAGTATGTTAAAGCTTCAAGCCAGGATCAGGACAAAAACATTAAAAGTTCTGGGATGAATTCCAGTCTCCCGAATTTAAGTATGTGAAGCAAGTATGTGCTTGCTAAAGCAGCCATCATCATGAGGTATGTTCTAGTGGCCAATAGCTAGGTGTGCTTCTCCTCCAGATGGAGATGTAAGTGCAGGCACTCCAAACTTGGGCAGACAAGATCTCCATCTAGAGGACTTCTGAAGCACCATCACTTCTATTAATTTACCAAATATTCCACCTAGGCCTTTCTTTCACTGGGCACAGGCACATTCCAGATCAGCTACCCAATTCTCTTGCCAACAAGACAATCACAATGAATCTATGGCATACGAGCAGAGGGACAAACTGCAAGGGAAAAATAAAATACATTTCCATTTGAGGATTACCTTGCATGGGGCAGGTGCTGGGGAGTGTCACCAAAGATGGTTCATAATCTGCAGGAAGGGGCCGTAATGACACAAGTGAATACAAAGAACGGTTTGACCTGAAAAAATAAGACAGGCATTTTAAAAGCCATCTCCAGATGAATGGGAAAAAGTACTTCAGATATAATTTATACCACAGTCTAATACTGCTGCAGCATGGCAATTCAACAGGCTCTATTCAAGATTAGCTCTCCTCATCTACCAGATAAACAGGAAACAAAGTATGGCAATAGACTTACCTGAACATCTGAATTTTAAATGTTATGTTCAAAGTATTATTGCCAAGAACATAGTAGTAGTAATAATAATAACAATAATAACAACAACAATAATGATAGTAATAGCAGGCTGCAGGACCTCAATGTTCTTCTTGAAGTGAGGGGCCCAGAACTAAACACAGAATTTGAAGTGTGACCTCACCAGTGCCCAGGACAGGGTCAATAACTGCCCTAGTCCTGATGGCCAAAAAAATTATTTACCTGTGCCACTGTTTCACCACCCTCACAATCAAGCATTTCTTTCCAATGTGTAATCAAAACCTTCTTCAGTTTGAAGCCATTCCCCCTTTTCCTATCATTCCAGGCCTTTGTCCAAGGGCTCTCTCCAGCTCTCCTGGAGCCCCTTTGGGCACTGGAAGGGGCTCTAAGGTCTCACCAGAGCCTTCTCCAGGCTGAGCACATTATGCACAACACATTATGCAAAGATAAATGATTCACCCTGCTTTCATAGGATTTTAGGGTAATAGTCTTAGCAAATTTTCTTCAGGTTTGAAACATGCACACAATATTGCTTCTTTTGTCAATATAAACTAAGACTGGTAAAAACATCTGTTGTTATTCACAAGGAAGCACTTTTACTTATCCACAGGAAGGCCTAACAACTGAACACTCCTCAGGCAAAACTACAGCCAACATATAAAACCTGAAATAATCTGTCAACTGAATGGGAAAAGCCATTTTAACAGTGTGTTACTTCAGTACTGGACCTGAACAGTTATTTGCTTTAAAGCTGTATCAGAAAGAAACCAAAATAAACCACATTTTACTTGTGTGCTCATTTGCCACTAATAAAGAGAAATAATCACATCTTTCATATACTGCTCAGAAGTCTCAGACAACACTGTACAGCAGGACAAGAAAAGCACTTCAGAAAGAAGCACTATTTGAACGAAGACATTTCAAAGCAGTAAGGGAAATGCAGTCTAGGAAAAACTTTACAAATGGCATAACAGGAATTCTTAAGAGTAAGAAACATTTTAAAAAAATATATAATTTAAACTATCTGAATAAGTAATTTAATTGTGGAAATTATGTGACTTACGAATCAGAGCAATGCATAACACCTGTCCTAATTACAACCAGAGAACACAAAACACTGTAGATGATACTTCACAGGGGAGTTCTATATTTGCAATAAAGGTGATTAGAACAACTCTGCCCCATCCTAAATTCTGTGTAGGAACAGCTTACATACTCACCACAAATAAATTCCAAGATCATCCACGTGTGCTGAAGCCAGGAAATCTCCTGTAGGGGACATAGTAAGGCTCACAGCTGCAGAGTCTACCAAAAAACAATCTATGAGACTGTGGAGGGAAAAAACAGAGAAATTATTAGCAAGATAAACTCTATCTGCACACATCTGAATTACAGCTGAATGCAAACAGGCTACTAGAGGTATGGACACAAACCAGGGTAGGAGAAGTATCCAAATGCATTATATAAACACAGAAAGTGTACAGCACTGTGCAACAAACTCCTTGTCCCTACAAAATGCCCTAAAATCAGATAAAGCTGGCACCTCCTCAGATATCCACACCCTGGAGAACATGTGATGAGCCATTCAACCCCTTATGCCTAACACAAACCTTTTATTAGCCATAAATTCCCTATTTCCAGTCAGGCCCAGTTGCTCAGACTGACAATTCCCTCTCAAGCATACTTCATATACACCTAGTTAATATTAGCACCTAATGTTTCTAAAATAAAGTATGAACTGTACAATGTGAAGTTTGATTATCTGCAAGAGTTTTGGCATTATCACATCTTCAGCCTGATAAACCATTTCTTGATAATTTTTTCATGACTGCAGAAAATTGAAAAAATACCATGTAAAAACAAACTTAAAATGTAACTATTATAGCATTATAATAACATACTACTATGCAACTACAATGAGACATTTAATTCCTGGATGATGCACTCTCTAGCAGACTTCCACTCAAGCCCAGGTTGACAGCATTACCTGTAACTTGCTGAAATACAAATTTCAGTTACTTCAAATTTATGTAAAAGTTGAGTTTGCTAATTAGCTCACCAAGAGAAACAAAAAGAACAAATGAAGAGTGTGAATACTTTGCTCTTGTTTACAGCTCTACAGCCCTGTTCACTAACCATAGAAAAAATACAGATGTAACACAGGAGTTTAAAGTGTAAAATCTTGTGGGCATGTATTTCCTCAGATACTGAGCACCCCTGTGATGGTTTGAGAGAACATGTCAAAACCAAAAGGCTTTTTTCCCTGAATGGAGTGTTTTACTCCCTATGCATGTTCTTAGATGCATGTTGCAAATCTCAGGTAAGAGAAAAATCATTCATCACTTCCAATATAAAATATATAAACACTAAACCCATAAATCCCAGACTTAGATACATTTTGCACACTGTGTACAATGGTGAGAAAAATTTACCCTGGATACTTTTTCTTAGCTTCAAATCCATCTTTGTATGACAATCCTTACCTATAACTGAGAAATTCTGTTTAATATGTCAACCACAAAGAACTCCAAATCAAATTTAACAAGAAATTAAGTTTTGCTACTTACTGAACTTAAATCATTATTAAAATTACAGGATTTGAGGAAGGAAGAATCAATCTACTACAGGAAATAAGACACTTGTAATTTTTACACAAAAAGCTAAATTAATCCTGCCTTGAGGCTGAAGGCATCTACCTTTATGCTTCCTGCCTGAGACAATGGAAGGAATAATGCTGAGCTCACATTTAGCAGGCCTCTTAGGCTGCAAGTGCTCCATGCAACCTATGAACAGCTCATACCCCTGATTCCTCAATTTGTCTGTGCAAGCTGCACAGCAGAAAGAAATATCTGCAAACTATATGCATAATGCCAGGGCTTCTGTTGGTAACTTTCTTTACACAAATTTTTTCCCAGTTCTAAAAAAGCATTAAACATTAAACATTAAAAAGACGCACTAGGAAGACCTGCATTACATTGCGTAAGGACGGTTAAGCACCACTCCCAAGTAAAAACAGATGTCCAGTCAATAGATGTCAGACCATTTACCAAAGTCTTGGCAATTTTTATAATGTTGGATTCTAGAAACAAGTTTTCCATCTTTTTATAAGAACAATATCAAAGCTGAGGCTTTAGAATACACATTTCATGAGATGTTTTACCTATTTATGTGCCACAGAGGTAAAACAAGCATCAGGCCTTTTATTAAACGCTGTTCCTCCTTTTCAATACACTCCTCTGCCTATAGTTATGGAAAAACCTTGCCTTTACATAATGGAAGAATAATTTAAACTAATTACATTTAAAACCAAGGTTTGTCATTTATCTGCCTAGATTTCATCTTGACCTGAATTTCAGAGGCAAGAGACAAAATATTTAATTTTTTTTACTGTAAAAGAGAACTACTATCAGACTGCTTTTGAAAACATTACAGATTCTTACTGCAATCTATTAACTTATTGAAGAAATGAAAAACAGAAGAAATGGATATTAATTCATGCTGGAACTTTTTGTAGACATATTACTTTGCAAGGGGAAGAGTGTTAGAAAGATGAAGACCAGAGGACTAATTTGGCCAGTATAAATGGGTTCCCATTTATACTAGAAAGAAGACAGTGTCCATCCTGTCCTGTTTTAGACTAGTGGTTCTCATCATGCAAGAACAGGCCAATTTTTTGTTGAGATGCAATGCACTTCTGGTACTAAAATGTGAACTTTTAAAGTGTACAAAAGTATTTACCAAACCGCATCAACAAAAATAATCAACCTAAATGAAACCTTTCAGTGCCAGGCACAACCACCAGAGCTGCACATTGCACAGCACCACCTTAAATTACAAAAAAAAATTTCTCTCTGATGTGCTGCTGAAAGAATGCACTGGCAGAACGCAAAGTTACTTCTCAGCTTGTTTTTTTCCTGGGCTCCTGAACTTCTTGTGTGTACTTGTCTACTTTTCAGCCAAACTTTATTCTGGGAGAAGACTACTCAGAGTGGAGCTCAAGAGAATGTTTTTGGCAGTTGCAAGTACAAACAAATTAAAAATATAATTGATCTAAAGCCATACTGTGTTGTTAAAATGAATGTAAGTGAAAACAGGCTTCTCTTTACAAATCCAGCTAGAGTACTGCATCCAAATCTGGGGCCTCCAGCACAAGACACACATGAAGTTAGAACAGCTCCAGGAAAATGACTCAAGGTCTGGAACACATTTCCTATGAGGAAAATGAGAGAGCTGTGGTGTTCTTCACCCTGGAGAACAGAAGGCTCTGGAGGAGACAACCTTGTGGCCTTACTTAAAGGGAGCTTACAAGAAAGATTAAGAGAGACTTTTTAACAGGGTCTGTGGTGACAGGACAAGGGGCAGCAGCTTTGAACTAAAAGGCTATGGGTTTAGATTGGATACAGGGCAGATTTTTTTTATGATGAGGGTGGCAAGGCACTGGAACAGACTGCATAAACAAGTAGTACATGGCCCAGCCCTGGGTCATGGTGTTCAAGCCCAAGCTGGGGGTCTGAGTAACCTGACCTAGTGAGAAAAGTTCCTTTCCACATCAAGACAGCTGTACTAGATCTTTGCTTCCAACTCCAACCACCTTTGTGATCTTACAAACACTTCAGCATATCACAGTGAAATTCACCTCAAGCAATCTTTTTCCCTTTAGATCATAGTGGTGCTTCCAGACAAGGAACAAATTCACACTCACTCACACTACATGGAAACTCCAGGTGTCATCAACAGATCTTCAGGACAGTGTTAATTTGTAGACCCAGAAGAAGACATGCATTGCTAGCACTGGACACAATTTAAATAGTGGGCAGAGTTGTTAAATCATGTGCAACTTTGAATATCATATCTGGTGACAGATAATCAAGCCAGAAGACTTTCTGCCATTTATGAGAAAGTTCTTCTGCTGTATGTTTTTAAACTGGCTTACCATCCAGAAGGAAGGTCCCAAGTCTTAATGGAACAATCCATTGATGAAGTTATCAGCCAACGACCATCAGGACTGAAAGTCTAAAACAAAATAGTCAATTTAAAGGCACAACCAATAAGCCAGTCCCCACAGGAGGCTGTGCCAAGATTAGACTGCTCCCTAAAACCCAGGTGAAATTGTATGGCCATAAACCAAAACTGCTAATACACTACTGAAAGTGAGGAAAGAACAAAACCAGAAGCTTTTTAAGAACAGGTATAAACATAAAACACAGGACATATCTCACTGTTTGTCAAAGCACTTCAGTCCTCACTTTTACGTTCATGGTGGAAACCTATTTCTAAGCATAAAGCTGAATAAATCAAGTAAATCCTATTTTAGTAGCATTTGTATATAAATTTGAAGCTAAAAACTATTTCAATGAACACTACAATGACCTATTACAGAATATGTAAATAAGGAATTATTAATGTGCTGCATAATCTCAGATATTTTTCCAGCTTGCTCATCTTTTCTATATACATGGCTGAGACTTCTGCACAATTTTGCTCCTTTTCATTACATTTTCATTATTCCCAGTGCTTTGTTTTGTTTGACCCCCAAATCAGCTTGTTGCAAATTTATAGGTAAATCGCAAAGCACATTAAAAAACAGATGGCAATTTATCACTTTACATCTCCAAACATGGCTGAAAGTGCTGTGGAGCTGAACTACAGCTTTACTGTTCACAGCTGAACATAACACCCAATGATTTAATACATGCAGAGAAATCTACCATCTGTGAAATCTGTTAGGTATCTGTGTATGTCACCTGTTACAGAAAATGAGTGAACAATTACCATGTCATTAATTCGTCCATGGTGTCCTGAGAATCTCCTGACAATCTTCCTGGTTTCTATATCCAAAGCACTAATAGTGAAGTCATCAAAGGCAATTCCCAAAATACCACTGCCAAGAAACATCAACACACATGATAGGGAATACTCAAGTGACAAAAAAATAAAAACATCCTAACATTGCTCCAATTATCTTTTATCCTAATAATAGCAAGAGTTACATTCCTTTAGTCTAATAAAATGTCTCATTATCCTCTGTCTATTAGTCAGTTGTATTTCAAAGCATTAGAAATACTAATTCTAATTAATTCTAATTAAGAATGCTGGCTATCATTCTAGATAAATATGTTCACCCAACAATATACATACGAAGTAACTTCAGTTTCTTACCTGTCTCTGTGAAGCAGAATTCCACTTGGAGAAGAAGAAAGTTCAGTGGAATAAACCAGATCTTTCATTTTGAATTTCCAAATTTTAATTAATCCTTCACTACCAGCTGTGATTACCAGCTGGTTCAATCCATCCACTGCTACCCCTCTAATTGCCCCTTCATGTGCTGCAAATCAAGAGAAAATAGAGTGCTGTTTCAGAATTTAAACTTAGCACAGAAATCAGCTGAATTCCAAACACTATTTTGTTTATCTTTGCCTGACTACAATGAATGATCAGCAAGCACATGACAATTTGAATGCCACTTGACAAGATGCTCCAGCATGCTAAGTTTTTTTTATCTCCACAGAAACCAAATTGATATCAAGTAAACACCTAGAATAAAAGTAAGAAGTGTAACTGAAGCTGAGTGTTAGCTCTTATTTCTGCTTTCCATTTGGGGAACTTTTTGTGGTTGTGAGATATGAGGGACTTCCTGAATCACTCAAGGAATGCCTCCAAGAGGACCTACCACTCCAGACAAAATTTACAGCTTCAGCTCAGGCAAAAAGTCTGGCAGTTATCCAAAGCTACTTCACACTGCAGTGTAAGACTTAGCTCCTCTGGTTTTGGATCAATTTTATTTCTTAATCTACACCTAGATTAATGTTTTTACCTAGAGCTGATGGCCAGTAAGCAAAATTAGAAAATTCATCCCACTATCAACCAATGATTTTGTAAAGACACCACTTCATGTTTGCTGAGCTAGAAGGCTTTTAGAAATCCAGTAAGTCTTAAGGGCTCATCAGGACTCTTTCCTTGTTTCTACAACAAAAAATACAGATCACGAGTGCCAAAAAACATGCATGAGAATACGTGATGTGAAATATACACGGATGAAACTTTAAAAGGAAATGTCAGAGCACTGTCACATTATGTCCTAAATTTGAAGCTGGGTAATTAAAAATAACACCATATGCAAAGCACTGGACTTGCTTAGGACTTCAGTTTTCCATTCACATGAAACAGTCTCTCATTTCTAAGCAGGGGGCAAAAAACAGATGGGAAAATTTATCTAAGAGATAGAACCCTATGAAACAAGAAGTTAAATACTGGAAATCTGACTATCTCAAAACCAGTGGAGGCCAGAGCACCTCACTTCAGTGCTAACCATTGTGCGAACTGACAATTTTGTGTTAAATAAAATCAAGGATATGCTAACATCAGAGCTGTTACAATTATCAAGGATCCTGTCCTTTAAGTCAAGTTTCTGACTGCAAGATAGGACAGTGCAACATAATTAGAAAAACTGAAATGCATCCCAAATTCAACTCAGAACCCATGTTAAAGATTCGTGATGACACAACAGCAGGTGACTGCTGCTCTGTTAAGTGTCCATATTTTGGAAGTTTAGGAGTTCTTACCTGTTTCCTCACCATAACGCCCTCTGTGAATGCCAGACTGCATGTTATACACATCTACCTGTCCAGTTGACATCCCAATTACAGCGAAGTTACCACATGATGTAATGTCAACTGCCTTTCAAGGGAATAAAAAAACCAAAAAACAACTAATCAACAAAACAAAGCACCTATGAAAACCATTTTTTAAGTGTCCATTAATGACCATTGTTAGAAGGTACACAGCATATTGGGAATATGAAACACTAACATTTGTTTTGAGGAAACCTGCACAGAGCAAACAACTTATATCTGAAGAAAGGAGAGGGAGAAGCTCTTAAAATGAGCAAAGAGTCAGCATGTAATAAAAATGGCGATGCATGGTTATGAAAGATAACGAAATCCTAGCTTGGTGACATCCATCAAAAGCCATAGGTAATAATAGCACTGTAAATTAAATAATAAAGATACCCACAAATTCAGTCCTTAATTACATTTAGAGTGTAAGCATGGCAATTGCACACCTCTTTCAATGCCCACACCACCAATACCCTCCCAAATTACGGTGAGATCACAGAGAGTTTAAATAGGAAGAAACAATGGTGTAGATGACTTTGGAAAGATAGAGTCCAAAGAATCTAGTAGTCAGAAGAAAACTTTTGGGCTGTAAATTGGGTATATACAATTTAATTTATCTAACACCTAACTACTAAGCATATTGTCAAAAACCATTGTAAGACACAGGAGTTGCATGAAGCCCTAGCAAATGAGGTGTACCACAGTAATTCCTCCTTTAAAAACCTGGTAAACCTCAGCAAGCATTTGTATCTCCATTGCTGCGTGTTTGACACAGTGTCATTGTGTCCAGCTCTTTAGTAAAGGATTTTTGAGGTAGTATCAATTCTTGCCATTTGGAAATACTCTTCCTTGTATTGCCAAAAACAAGCCCAGAGTCTTCAGCAATCTGCACTCTCAGAGTAAGTTAATTATCACAGGCCTACAGACAACTCTACATTGCTGTGACAGACTAAAGGTAAACACCAACCACCTCTCTCAGCCAGAAAGTTAGTGCACTTAACTTGAATATTTAGGGAAAAAGAAAAAATTTTCATAAGACCATAAGCATGACAAACCAGCTCACTGGACACACTGAGCTGGCAGAAAGCACTCTGCAAGCAACTAAAATAAATCTACACCATGCTTTTTCCTTCTAAGCCTTATTTCTATACCAACAGGAATAAAAATAGCACACAGTGTGAATCTGAAGAAATCTTGCCCTAAATAAACTTACTGTTGCATATATGTCAACAGGTTTGTGTTTGCTAAATTCTTCTGGCCTCAGTTTGTGAGCTCCCATGGAGGTTTTCTGATAGTTCCAGGTTGTACATGTTATATACCCTTGATGGCAGGCAACAATACCATCCCAGTCACTCTGATGTGCCACTTCTGCAAGGTAACAGAGTCTTCTTAGAAACAGTAATCCTAAAGTCAAACTTAAGCTCTCCTGATATTTTACAGTACCTTGAGACAGAACAGTTCATATTTACTGTTCTTGTTGCACACTCAAAAGGCTACCACTCAAAAAAAACTGCTGGGCAAACAGTTGTTCATAATGTAACTAAAATAATAACAACAAAACCTCAAGCATTGTTTTAAACAATACACTTTGTGTCTTTGCATATTTTAGCTTCTGCAGTTTGAAATGCATATTTCAATGTAAATGTTTTAAACTGGTTTAAATGGTTCAGACTGCTCAGTCTGTACACATTTCCACCTGAGTGTCTTTAACTTTTTCTTCAGCTGTTCAAGCATCAGAAGCCATCAGATAAAGTTAGGTTTAAGAGCTATTCTGGTTCATACAGCAAAATACTTCTTTTGCATTTCCAGGAAAATTGTTTACCAAAAGCTCAGCACCAAAACTTTGTAGTCAAATATGATATATGGGGATCTAAATAATGAGCGAGTTTGATTTTTTTTTTCTGGAAATTTAAAAAAAAATGAGAGCTTGAAACTGGGTGTTTCTAGAATTTCAAAGACTAAAGATACAAAATGGTTCACTTAACCAAAAAAAGAGAAAGAAAAAACAACTCTAGAATGTACTTAAATGAATGGATGTTTTATGTCTTCAAACACCAGCAGCTCTAGCAGTAATTTTAAAATTAATTCATTTTAAATATAAATTTTAAAAATATACACATATGCTTGCAACTAGTATGTACAGACAGTCTGCATCGTGGATTACACAAAACTGTAAATCCGATCTTTTAACGCAGGAAACAATAAATCATCCTCAGAAGAGAAAATAGTTACATTTTTGACAAAACAGATTTCAAGTCTGAAGAGGAGGCCATTAATTTAAAGAAGTACATTTTGATGAAGCAAAAATAACTGTAATTCTGCTAAAAGAAGTTAGAGTCATTATTTTCTTACTGAATGACAAATGAACACATACTTGAATTTCAGCTTTAAAAAGTGACTCAAATAAGTGTACTGAGGACTCAAAATCAACTATAACTAAGATTTCCTCAGCTGACAAAGATCTTCAACCTCCAACTAGCTGCTGGTTCTCCAGCCTGGAATAATATGTACATCTGCAGATTCTGGCTCCTGTGCAGGAGATTTTCAAGCCAAGAGCTAGATAAGGATGTTTTAATATAAAATCCTCTTTTTGAAATATTGGAACAGTTTACCAACTCAAATGAAATTTTAAACTGTCACTCAGAAGCTCATGAAAGGCCACAGAATAATCTAGACATAGCATGTGCTTCCAAAACAATAGTGTTCTGAGGGTTCAAAAATGAAAGGAACACATGAAGTATTCATATTTAGTCTGTAACCTATGTCAAAGACCACTTACCTGAAGCAAAGGCTGTAATCGGTGGAAGTGCCATCGTATCCAGCTTAAGGCCTTTCTTTTTTGATTTCTTTTTATTAATTGAACCTTAAAAATAGACATTAAAAGTCTCAGTCTCATTGCCAGAACTGAAAATAATGGTTTAAAAAGGACCATTAACAAAGTGCAAAGCTCCTTTTAAATTTAGGAACGTTTGGCTTAAATAAACACATCACTGTTGTATAGGTTTGTAGAGATAAGAACATTAATGGAGTGTCTGTCAAAATTCATGCAATGCTGAGCAAAACACCAGACTGTGAATTCAAGCTGTGAATTCACTACTCAATCTACTTGTTCCAAGACCTTGTGCTGAAATTCTGAGGCAGATTCACAGCTAAAAACATGGTCCTATAGACATGACTATATAAAGCAATAAATAGCACCCAGCCCTTTCAATAACCAAAGAATCTCGAATTTCAAATTTATGCCCAAATTAATTTTCATGCATCTTTTCAAACAGGTCCAAGTACATATATAACAACATAGACAGATACGTAAAACTAAGGCTTATTTCAGTCTTTCTGATCCTCACTCTCCCAAATGGTTCCTTAACCATGGCATGACATGCAAGATGTGTTTAAGCCAAACTCTACATCAAAGGAACACAAGCCAAGAAATATGAAGTGGCCAATAGTCAATTGAACAGAATGGAAATAGGGTAAAAGTTGCAGTTACATATGCTGAAATGTCAGCCACTGCTTTACACATTTTTAATATAAAAATCATGCACAGTGTTTCCCACAGAGAAGTAACATACCCTGCCAGGACCAGAAATCACTTTTTTAATCTGAGAGTACCATCACTGCAGCAAGGACTGAGTTTTCAGAGTAACTGAGGTGATCAGCTTTTACAGAACAACTGAAGTGAAAATAAGGCCTGTCAAAGGTTTACATAAATACTTTTTGGGACTTCTTTTCACCTATGTTTGTACTTTGACTGAAATACTTACCACGTCCTAGGCTTTTATTGAACTTTTCATGCACTGTTGAAAAAGATTGCAATGTTCCATCTTGACCTAAGAAAGCATTAGCACAGAACAGTGAAGGGCAAAAATCAACTTTACTCATAAGCTATTTCAGTAAGAAAAGCAAAAGTAATAAGCAACTTCAAACACTATAATCAGGTTCAATCACTAAAAATTCTGGTCCAAGAATAAATACAGATAGACTCTGAGTAGCTCATCTAATGGAGCCTACCCCATTTTCTATGGCCTACATCCATTCCCACAACTCTGCCCCACACATGATCAGAATGACCCCTCTTCACAGACATCTTTTCCATGTTCAATTCTTCTGACTCTGTAATGTCTGATTTATAACATAGTGTACTGTAGTATTAATCAAATTTTATGAAGTTAATTATGAATTTCCATAGAAGAGGAGATGCCTTTTCTAAGGAAACTAGTAGCCCATGAAAGGCAACCCTAATTCATATCTGATGCACAAAGTTCTAGCACTGTTTCAGAAAGGAGTGTAGAGAGTTAGTCTCCCCTCTACATTGCAGATACGTCGGGTATCAAAGGTTAAGACCCTTTCCATTGTAAAGGTTGCCTCTGTGGCCTCTCCACTGCAAAAGCAAATGTGAAGATTTATTAAGCAACACTTGACTGATATTGTGGTTTGTCTGGTGTGGTCTGAAATACCGACAAGAACTCATTACATGAATGCAAGTAGTTAGCTGGATGACCAGCAAGACATTTTAGTACAGGGAGTATAATGTTTTCAAAAGTAGCCCATATAGACAATTACTTAAGAGTAATTAAGAGACTAGGCAGTGAGTCTCTATCACCCCATCGCCTAAGTGGTCTGGGGTAAAACATGCTCTAATCTAGCACTTCCCTCTCCTAAGGGGCATTTTAGATATGCTAGCTCCTAAGGAAGGATCGTCACTTTATGCGTTTTTACACTTTTAGATTAATATATCAGTAAAAAGCAACCTTGAAAATATGTATTACAAATACAAGTAAGCTGTAATAAATTACAAAGACAGTGCAAGCCACAAAGCTTGATCAAGCTACTGGAAAAAGTAGTTACTAACTGCATTATGCTACTTATTTTTCTCCTGCCACAACCACATTTCACAAGTTGTTAAAGATTTCACTCTGACCAGCTAACACTTGCTCAGAAGATAACAAAACTATTTTCATTAATCAAATATATAAATACAGATAATAGCAGCTCCTTTGATATTCTTCTTTCAAGTACTCTTCAGCTGACATTCTAGGGAAACACACATTTCCCACTAGAGTAGGAAAACTCCAGTGAAACATTTTGTTACAGTAATAAATTACACCATTTATGTTAACTACCTACTATGTTTCATAAATATATTATACAACATTTGAAATATAATCTAGCATATTAATAAAATAAAGACACTTGGCTCTGGCATGTTTTCTTTATCACAGCAAGAAATCAGACTGAAAAAGAATGGAGATTCTTACCTGCACTAAGAATTTGCTCTCCATTTTGCCCATGATATCTGATTTTTGTTGGCGGCGCACTGTGTCCCATTCGGCTTCTCAATACTCGACCTATACCACCAGGTCCATCAAAAATCCAAACCTGCACCCCAAAACAAGCAGAAAAACCAGGCTGATAAACATTTTCCCAATAATTGCACCTCTTGTCAGTGGAACATGTTTATCTGGGAGCTGGTGCAGCCCACTTCACACACTGACTTTCATCCTTAACGCTAAAACTTCGGAAGTTTCCATCACATCACCTGATTTATTTCCTGCTTCTCATTCTGCCCCTCCACCAAAGCCTAATGGCATCAGAGGACATGTAGCACAAGAGATTTTATCAACAGCAACTGCTTATGATCCAAAACATTATCAAAATGGATCAAGATTTAAAAGAATACTGGGATATAAAGTGTGGTTTCTGGAAAAGTGGATCCAAATCTTTGATCTTCAAGGGTACAACAAAGCAGTAAATGAAGCAAAGACAACACAGCAGTAAACCTTTAAACTACAGTCCTCTACAGTCCAACTGAGACAAGCAACTTGAATTTTGTTGTATTGGTTTCAGAGAGCAGCAGTGATTGGAACTCACCCGTAGAGCATTATCAGCACCATTAGTAATAAGAAGTGGCTCCCCAGGGACAAATGTCATGCCAGCTATTGCTGTGGAATGGGCATCTTGCATCTGACACATCAGTTTCTTCTCTTCTAGATCCCACAAAGCAATGTGTCCAACTGGGCTACCAGCTGCCATTACTGGGTGTCCATCTGCTCAAAAAAAAAATTCAAAAGGTTTGCTTATTGACATTTAATTCATCCCCACATCTTAAAACTGATGCTAGAAAAGCCTATAATCACAAGGAAAAATAAATCTCAAGCTGATGGTAGAAATAATTAGGTTTTTAACAGAAATATTGTACCATGTCAATCAGAAAAGAAACAAAACTCACTGATAAAAAAAATAGGACTTTCTCGTATCAGGTAACAATAAAATCTCTAAATCCAGCAATCAGAACTAGAGGTTTTGCTTGAAAATGCAATAGATATTGGCACAAAAAGGCTCTCCTTCTACTTCTCACAAGTCTTTTCACAATTTTCTCCAGTAGTATTCTTTCTCAACAGGGTGTGAACTCAATCTATACTCTGTTAAGATTTGCAAGATTATTCAAAGGAGAGATTAGATTCAGTATCAATAGCTCTGCAGGCAAGATCAACATTGAACTAACTAGCTTTAATAATTAGGGCATGTTTGTTAGACAAGAAAAAGCTGTGAATATAAGTTGAGATTCCCCCTTAACACCCATTCAGTATTCACCCAACTATTAACATTCCAACATTATCTGGGGGGGACAGACACTGCTGAGAATAAGTTTGGACACTAAAGCAAGAGGTACTGAATGCAACACTTCTGACAATTGTGTATTGAGTTAGCTCTTGGCACACTGTAAACAAACTTTTCAAGTATGCTGTATGTCACTTCCTATGCACTATGAACACAAGAAAATGCTATAAAACAGCTAGCATGATGAAAATGCATGATCTCCCTTACTTATTGCTTCCTCTCTTTGATTTACTTCAGCCTTCAAAAACTAAAACTCTCAGCACAAATTTGATTCTGAAATGTTTTATCACAAACTATTTTCTTCTGTTCCACTTAGTTATGTTAGTGCTTTCATACATATTTCTACTAAAAAATACTAGGACTTACCTGTACGAAAAGATATTGCTGTGATGGGACCCCAGTCCTGTTGAAACTTCATCAGAGTTTCATCAAACTTAATATTATGTACTATGATATGACCAGATACAAGGCCAACAGCAACAACATCCACTGCTGGAGCCTGCAAGAAAAAAATCTGTTTCCAGAAGCTGGAACTCCTTTGAAAAGCAGATCACTTTAAGTGTCCAGTAGCTTTGGAAGACCATTATACACCGTGCCACACTACCCCACATATTTATGAGTTTTATCCTGCACAACTGCTGACTATTTTCACAGCTGTCATCAATGCTACGAAGAAGTTTTAACTTACTTTTATATCTAAAAAAAAAAAAGTAGCAAATACCATTACAAAATATTTTACTGAATCAACAAAATCCATATTTTATCAAACTCTGAAGCAAAACAAAACTGGCAAAAAAGCTACCAGTGTAATGGAGATTCATGATACTCATGCATCTTGAAAACTGTGAATTCATGACATCATTCAGTGAAGACTATAGATGTGATGAACACAAAACAGGTAAGATGCTAAATGCAAGAGAACTAGGAATAGAGGAAGAGCAGATAATAAACTTTCAGTCATGAGAGGGTTACTACAATGACCTGAGAGAATACACACCACCTTTACTGCTGACATTTTAAACAACAATATTTTGTCTGCTGTTCTTGACCAGTTACATATGAAAATAAAAATATAAAAATACTAACTTGTTCTAGAGTTGTGACTGCTAAACCCCATCCTGGAAACGAGTACAAGAGTTTGCTGTAAAACAAATATAAAAACCCATAAATTAATCAACCCTTGGGGATTTTCCATGCCACAATGGATGTTTTATACGTACTTACACAGAAAAGTATATCAGCTTTCTGTTCTTACAGATCAGAAAAAAGGAAAAAAAAAAAGCCTGTGATACTAAGAAGTAAGGTTAAAAATTAAACTTACAACTAAATTTTATTGAAAAAGCTAGTGTTGTGCTTTAATACCACAACGACGACATGACTACATGCCATGAATATATGAAATAAAAGAAACACCAGTTATATCATGGAAAACTGAGTTAGGAGAACACAACACTGATTTATGCAAGCTGACTTAACACGTATTTGCAGTATGAACATTAGCACGCAGTGAAGCTCACTGTACCTGTAACTTTCATGACTGAGAAAAGCAGCTGCTCGTGGCAGGAATGAAATACTGACATGGTGGATGATGATCTTCTGGGACATGCTCAGAGACAACTGCATGTCCACACACCTCTCATCTGAGTCTAAGGCTCAAGTGCTAGTAATTACCTCCACTCTACCTGCCAGCACTTCCTTGAACCCACAATAACCAAAAAAGTTTGGAAGATGGGAAGCAGGAGGCCTGAACATGCTTCTACTATTATTTCAATAGCTTTCTGGGAAAGCTTTGTGATTCCGAGAAATTTAAAAAAAAAAAAAAATAATTCCTGAACAACCCCTGACATTTTGTAAGGAGAGTAAACAACACGCAACCTGAAAGGCATCAGCATTCAGGGAGCAGCAGCATTCTTTATTCCTGGAGATATACCAACTGAAAACCTGTGCCAATACTCGGAAAAATATTCCAAACTTAACAGTATCATTTGCTGCCTATCAAACTACTTGTAACATGAAGTGTAGCCAAAATACCAAGAATCTTACTTGGATCTTATATTCCATAGCTGCAAGGTTCCTTGTTCGCTCCCGAGGAGAATTTTATTCAGATAGGTGCTGGGATGCAGAAGTGCAGAAACTGCAAAAGTGGCTTTGTCAAAATCTATTCGAAGATACTCTTCTGCAAAAACAGTAAGAAACAGTGTTAGTGTGGCTATCCCTACAACTCTGCAGGCTGGTCAAATGAAAAAGCAGGATAGATCTTTAACTTTTCAAATCCTGTTTCTTACATTAAAGGATTAGCTAACATGTAACAGAAGAGGATAAACTGCTTTACATTGTAACATCTGTTGGCTCTAAGGTTTATTTTGTTCTCTGTAAGTCTACACTTCAACAATACTGGCAATACCACAGCGATTTGTATCTGAGGGATTCCTGCTCCTGCCTGAGCAAAACACCTCATCTGATTAGCATTCCTTTTGCTTGTTATAGCAACTCCAAATCTCCAAAGCCTGGTTAGAGACACTTCTGACAACCAGCCCGCAGAGAATAACCCCATGTCACGCAAATGAATGCTTTCTAAAGAAAAATGTTTGGCCCACTGAAGCACAATTTCACAAAGCACTTGACAACAGCATGAGAAGATGCTGACACAAACAAGAAGATTATTTATTATAATTTAGTCATACCCAGTCTGATAAATATCAAGGAATTACAGGAATTCAGAAATAATGCCAAAGCTGCTCTATCACAGCCTTTACAAGAAAATGAAACACTAAAATGTAATTTTCATATAACCATTTTCTCTTTTACATCTACACAGAAGCTTACTGGGTCTCAGCACATGGTACAGTATCCATTCATGAAACATTACTGCAGGATTAGAATTATTAAGATACTAGAATAGATTTTCCTTTTCAAGAACAAACTGCTTCTGAACATGTGCATTTGGGAAAAAGCCCTTCTCAAATTACTGGCTGTCAAACAGTGTTACCCTATAAAGCAGCAACAAAAATTAAATCTCTCACCTTCTGACTGTATATTCCAAACAATAAGAACATTATCAACATCCACAGAGATGACATGATCACCAAAAGGCTGTAGAAGGTGTATCCTTGCCTTGTGGCCTTCATAGGTATGAACCACCTATAATTTCAAAGTAGAAATGCTTTCAGTAAGCTGTTAAGGCAGAATATCATGTTAACATAATACTTAAGTGAAGCTAATGGATGTCAGCAGCAAATTCAATAAAAATTCATGGAAAGGCCACACAACTTGAAGTGCAAGACAAATAATTGTATCTGATATTTAAAACTGTTTGCAAAAAATATGCTACCTAATTATTTTTAATTTTTTACTTTCAATTAATTCAGCTTATGTGAATTGATGATTTTTAAAAATCTTTAAACAGATACTTAATTATTGTAATTAATATGCAAAACACAGTTCAGCATTATGGAATTTGCTCTCACATTCCCCCAGTTTAAGCTTTTTACTCCTTATTCTACAGTTTGTTTCCCTAAAACTGAAGGTACCAACCAGCTACGGAAATAGATACTTGTAGAAAATTGACAGCCTTGATACCACAAACACTACACAACTGTTTTGTACCGCTGAGTAAGAAGTAAGTTAATAGAAACCTCTTTGTTCCTGGCAAAAGCTTGGAGAACATTGTCATATGAAGCAAATATTAACATGCGATCTGCTGCCAAACATGTGATGTCTTGTGGCAAAGTATTACCTGTTGATCAAACAAAAGAAAAGTTAAACAAGTTTCAGGCTCCTAGCAAGAGAGAAAGCTTGACAGCATATTTCTTCGGCATGGTGACCCACAAAGAAAGGCCTCTGGTCAAACATGTTGAATTTTACAGAAATGCGCACATTTCAAAATAACACAAATATTACTACAAAACATTATGCCAGTACCAACATCATAAGTAACATAAGATTGGTAGATCACCAGGTTGTTCTTTTGAAAAACACGTAATAATAAATTAGTGAACTAAGTAAAGTACATGTTAGCTTTGTGGGGACTGGAACCATAGATGATAAATCAAAGTCTCAGCATTAGCAATGCTTACTAGGTTATTATTCTGCAGGCCTGGGAGTAGGAGACCCACTCCTGCACCTATGTCCTGATCACACTGAGAATTTAATGCTCTAAGAATACATCTCATTCCCTACCTCATGACTGGTTCAGAAAGAGTATATATAATGTCAGGGTATTTACTTTACTAGCCCAAAAGGTAAAAGAGTCAAAGTTCTAGACCATACTGAGAAACTGCTAGTGTGGTCTCAAATGGGAAAACAGGAAAAAAAATACTATAGGGAATAATACTCTCAATTCATGGAAATATAAAAATGTAAATTACAGCACTTTACTCTTCTGCAGAGAAACACCAAGTGCAAATTCACGGTGGGAGTGAACCTATGTATGATACAAACTAGCATGGTCACACAGCAGCCTTTCCCACAAAGGTGCTTTGTACTGTGAATTATTAGCAGGCACAAAGAAAACTGCAGCCTCTGCTGTACTGCAGCACAGCTTCAAAAGAAGGGACTGAAATAAGAAATAGAAGAAGGTTTCGGTCTATGAGGTTTCATTTGTCTGAATACATCTTCCTACAGCACCTCTGAAGTGACTCAAACTTACAACCAGGTTACAGATACCTGGTATTCCACAGGAGCTGTATGCAAGGCTGCTTAGGCTAAGTTTTAGGCAGACCCAAATTAAAAAGTTCAGAGCACCAACCATGTAACATCAGCAAACCAACAGCATCATAAAAGAGAGGCACAGCATTCATTTTTTTCAATCACAATTTTGTATGTAAACTCTCAATTTCTCAAAAAGCTTAGATGATTACACGTGTAAGATGATGTAGCCCAGTGCAGAACAGAATATGCAATGTTTTTATGATTTTGCAAGATGAAAACAAAGTTAATGTGTTTACAGCTTTAAAAATACATAGCTGATAATCTAAATCCAGTCCTGGTTTACTTATTCTCAAGCTTACAGACGCTCTCTTAGTAAAATATATTTTATATATGACTCCTCTGTAAAATTTTTCTGGTACACAGAAGTATAGCCTCGACTTTTCAAGATAGAGTGCATCCCTCTGAATTATCTAAGTGCCAAGTGAAAGGGACCTTTGGAAATCAACTGGTTCAACATCCCACCAGCTCTTCACAAAGTTTATCATCAGTACCAGACTGGGTTAGCTGCATCTGAGTCTTGAACACTTCTGGGGAAGCAGTTTTGCTCAAGCTCTATACCATACCACAGTCACCTCTTAGGACCATTTTTCCTACCCTCCACTGTGACCCTCTCAAGCTGCAATCTGTGAGTGCTGCCCCTAGCTGCTTTGTCTACCTCTACCACCATCAGCACAAATCTGGTCCCACCATCCAAGTGCCCTTCAGGAACAGGCTGCCTCTGGGCCACCCTGTATCTTGCCCTTCTTAGCACTAAGCAGATCTAGTTACTCCAATGTCTCTTTTCCTACTGCTTGCTGTAGGCCCCAACACTCTCTGGCTCTTCAGCATGCCTCCTGCAGGAGAAAAGGAAGCTGTGGAAGGGACAGAACCACACTAATAGGGTGCTGCAGCCCAGACATGGACACCTCAGCAGTGTGAGGTGCAGGAGAAGAACAGCTTTGCCTGATCTGCTGAATGCATTCCTAATGAGGCTCAATACACAGCCTGCCTTACTCAGTTACCATGGTTCTGGTCCACGTTCAGCCTGGCACCAGCACAGCCCCAGCTTCTTTCCAGGAGGATGCCATGAAGCCAGTCAGTTCCCAGCTTGCTCTGTCCCAGGTACAGCAGGGTTCTGCACTTATCCTCGCTGAATTTGGCAAGGATCCTGTTGGCCCAGGCTTCATGTTTTGCAGCAGCTGCCTGGACTAAAACTCTGCCACTCTGGGTGTCAGCTATTCCTCCTAAAACAGCATCCTCTGCAAGCTTATCCCAGGAGTGCGCGCTGCCTCGTCACCCAGTCTGCTGGTGAAGAACATGGGCCCTGCTGCTGACACCCAGAGTGTTTTGGTTTGCCACCAAAGACCAAGTGAATGTCAAGACATCAATTCATATCCTTTGTATCCACCAGTACAACCAATGCCGAACACTCCCTGAAGGCATCTGCATCTATTTTCTTCATGTAATTATTTTCCTCCTATAACAGTCCTCTAATAATCACAAAAACAGCAACCAAACAGGGATCTGAAATTAATTCAATAAATTAATAATTAAGCTTTATTCACTGTGCAGCCCTTATGGCTTAGAGGTGTTTTTGGAAGAACAAGATGGTAAGAACAGAAGGTTGAAAATGTCTCTAAGAAAACTAAATTCAGTTTCAACAGCAGTCTTATTTTCAAATTGCTATTTTAGATTTCTGAAACTCCTTTTAATATATTTCAGTGTAAATATTAGTAAGTACAATTTACTTTCTTGTTTTTGAGTTGAAAATGAAGTGCAGATGTAAGACCTGTTTAAAAAAAATCCCCAACAAAATAAGAGGAATGGACAATTTGTGAATACTTACTCACAGCAACAATACCAAGCTTCTTCACCTGCAATGACAATGTTAAAACGGCATTTTTACTGATAGGTTGCATTGAATTCAATATAAACAGAAATTAAAAATTCTAGGAATTAACCTAGATCAGACAATAAATTTGATACCTCACAAACCAGAAAAATCATTCATCCTAGTTTAGAACGCTGTCTACTGAAAAACACACAGACAACAGGTCAAAAGGAATGGGTCAATGCATTTCCCAAAAGACAAACTACTCACCAACAGTAAGTTGTGCTTCCTGATTTTACCCTAATGCACAGGAAACTAAGGACATATTAAGACACCCTGAGGAACCTGGATACCTTAGTTTCCACTTGATCTCTGTTTCTACCTTATTTTCACTACAACCACACTGTATTCTAGTTTTATCTCTGTTCACAGAGAATTTGGTTTAGTTGCAAAGATCTAGGCATCTCTGCCCGGTGCCGATCACTGCTCTCCTTCAAAGGCTGTGAAGAAGGCTGGTGGGAGTGAACGCTAAAAGGCGCCACAGAAGATCACAGAGGATCCCTGATGTCTGCGCTCGGGTGTTCACCGTAGTCAGCTCAGTTCTGTGTACTGTTTCTTATACAGTGAAAATGCTTTGACTGAGCCCAGGGAAGTCAAGGAGTCTCTCTCTTTTGAGGCATTCCAAACCCACGCTGACTCGTTCCTTTGTAACCTGCTCTAGGTGACCCGGCCTTAGCAGGGGGGGTGGTCTGGGTGATCTCCCTCCCGACCTGAGGGGGTTTATGATTACACACAGCAAAAAACGAGTCCGTATCACAGGCTTTTATCTTGCTGAACTCAACTATGGTCATCCGTTTTCACACAAGAGTTTTAACAGGATCTGACCGCCCCCCGTCCCTAAAACGTCACCCTCAAACGCTAAACCAGAGCGGGTGAGCTTTGGTTTATCTTGTAGCGAAGGCAAAGCTTCAGCACCCGGGCGCTCCCGAAGGATGAGCCGTGTGACATCGGCTAATGCTGCTCACAAGGCTGAATAAGCCCATTCCCGGCCTCTTTAGCCGGCGGCCTCCCTTTTTCCCTCCCTCCCTCCCTCCCTCTGTCACCGCGGCTGCGGAGGCGCCGCAGCCCCGCACACGCTCCCGCATCATGACGGCGAGGGCGGGAGGAGGAAGGGAGGAAAAGGCGGATGTCCCCGCACGGCCCCGGCCTCCCCACGGCGGGCCGGAGCGGGAAGGAGCCCAGGACAAAGGAGCGGGAACCGGGACGCCGCGTACTCACATTGTAGGTGTGGACGCTGCTCCCGACGGCGACGGCCAGGTAGAATTGGCGGTGGCGGCCGTGGTAGCGCAGGACGTGCGGGACGTGCCCGCTGAAGCGGCCGAGCACCCGGAACGCGGCGAAGAGCCCCGCGCCCTCCCGCGCCATGGCTCCGCACGTGTCCCCGCGCCCGGCCGCGTCCGCCCGCCCTCCCGCCGGAAGCGCCCGCCCGCTTCCGCCGCCGCGCCCCGCCCCGCCGTGCGCCGCCGAAAGCGGCCCCCGCCCCGCCGCACACGCTCCTCCGGCCCCGTTCCGCCGCCCCACCGCCCCGCTCCGCCGGCCCCGCTCCGCCGCCGCCGCCCCGCGCACGGGCGCGGTGCCGCCCGGGCCCGCAGGGGAGCATCAGCCGCGAATCCTGCCGCAAACATTCCACGCAGCCGCGACTGCGCGGTTTTTTCCCTTTTATTCTTCGTTTCTGTATCCCCTTTTATTCCTTATTTCGTTATCCCCTTTGTCTTGGCAAAGCACTAGGTCCGGTTGCGGGTGGCCCCGCGCAGAGGCGGCAGAGGAGCGTGAGGTGAGCCCGCCTCCGATGGCGCATCCCGCGGGATGCCCACGTCGGGAGCCTCTGAACTTCCCGAGGTGTCTGTTTAGAGTCTTTTGTGGTGGTGGTAGTGTTGGTTTTGTATGTGGGCTTGTTGTTTGTTTGTTTGTTTGTTTTAAAATAAATTATGGATATTAAAAAAAATACCAACCCGCAGGATGACTCCGTTGCTATGACTGCACGGCGGACAGTGGAAGTGAAGTCCGGCGGAGGAGGCAAAATGAAAAGCCGCGCCACCCCTAGGCCATTTATGCCAAGTTGTTGTAACTTCTCCACACCGCCATCAGCTCCCGGGCTTTGCTCTTGTCGCACGGGGCCGGGCTTGACGTGCCGGCGGCGCTCCCGGTGCTGTCCCCGGGGCTGTCCCGCTGCGCTGTCTCAGTGCCCGCCTGTGAGGCGCAGAAGCCGGGGCAGTGGTGCTTCAGGACCGACAGGGTGACGCGCCACAGCTCCGGTCGCTCCCCGCATCCCCACGCCCGCTCCAGGAGGCATTCCAGCAGCCGGCCCGCTCGCTCCGCCCGCCTGGAGTCCTGCGACCAGACGGCCGGTCACGACCCTTAGCTCCGTTTCCCTTCAGCGCCTCCCCACGCATCCTTACAAAGAGGCTGCCCGTCCACCGCTTCTCCCCGCTTTCCCTTCTTTTCTTGCCTTCCCTTCTTCCTCATTTTCCTCCCCCTCCTCTCTTTTTCCCTCCTCCCCTCCTCCTCCTTTTCCTTTCTCCCTTTCTTGCTCCCCTCTTCCCTGTTTGTTTTTTTTTTAACGGGAATGCCGCCTAGCCGCAGGGAAGTAGGCGCACCGGGGCGAACCTCGGACTGCTGCTTGCCCGCCGGCTCGGAAGGCGCGTCCTCGCAGTTGTGAAAATCGAGTTGTAGCTCCTGGAGGGAAACAACAACAGGGAATGCTCATTAAAACCATGTCTCCCGGGGTCGCCTTCGCCGGCTGCCAGCCTGCCTCGGGCACCCCGTTATAGACATGCCTCCTGTCTCACCGCCCCGTCGGGGCCTCGGAGGGTACGGGCGGCTGCGGGAGTCGGCCGGCGGCCGCTGCTGGGCTGCGCTGGGCAGCTGCGGGCTGTGATGCCCGAGCCAGCGGCAGGGCTGCTTTCCGCGAAAAACACTGCCTGGTCTTTGCGCTAAGGGCCGGCTGAGCGTGTGAACCCTCGGCGTAGCTTCTAAACCACTTATCACCGTGACACCATCTTCAGCGCCGTTGAAGCATTATACAAGCGACTTTCAGTCCTACGGGTCTGCAAGGTGCTGGGAAGGGTCGGGTAGAGCTCTGGCAGCGGCCGCCCGGGCTCCTGCTCTCCGTCCCTGCCAGTCCCAGCTTCAGCGAAGTACTTTTTAGGAAGGTCGCCGGAGGAGAGCAGGGCATAAATTCAAGGTCCTGTTTCACAGGTACCGGTTTACTAAACCAGCCAAATCCCGGCTTGTTAACCGAGATTGTCAGAAAGTAGCTGCCGGTGGCCAAGGGTAAAAACGAGGAGGCAGTGCCGTCCCGATAGTTTCCCTCCGATGCCACCAGAGAAAGCACCAACCTCTTGTGTAAAGGTTATGTCTGCATCCAAAACGTTTAGTAGATCCTCTTGTATCTTGTCGTGGTCACAGAGGCTGAAATTGTAGGGGGACCCCCGCGGTAAGAAGGCGATCTGAAGAAAGATGATCAAGCTACAAAGGACTGTGTAAGAAAAAGCCAAAGGTTAATTATCCTGCATCGCTACGTGACCCGACAAGGCACAGAAGGCAGCTGAAGAGAGGGATGCCCGTGCTTCAGAAGCACTAGAGAAACTGGTTGGTTACCGTTGTGATTATCCATGGTGTCTTTACACGTTGTTTTTCCCCTCCCGGGCTTCAGATCGTTGCTGGCTTCATATATGTACCTGTACGCCTACGGAAATAAAGGTTTCCAATTCCATAACCGGGGCTCATTTGGACGTCTCTTTCACCTCTTTCCAGATTTGTAAATAATTATTACTCAGTCTTGAAGTTGTGTCACTGATGCGAAAATAAGACCGGGATAACGAATAATAATCAAAGGCATCATCCAAACCCCAAACAAAACAAAAGAAATCACAAAAGCTTAACAACAGACAATCTTGCTTGAAACAAGTGTGAGTAGCCCTCCCCACAAACACGTGGGGTGCAACTTCAGCGGGGACTGTTGCAGTGAAACCCGATTTTCTCTTGAAGGCGAGAAAAGATGCTTCGGGGCACCTGCAGAGAGTCTGCCCGGGGGTGGGCAGCGTGCACACCTTCCACACTGAGGTTGCAGGGGCATCTCCAGTGACACTTTTTAACATACTAGCGCGGCAGCGAGTGGAGCGTAGTGGTCGTTTCTCTATCCCCCTCTACAGTTGTGGGTTTGTTTTTTTTTTTTTCTTTCGAAGGTGAACATTTTCTTCTAGAAACCCTTTCGCCGGGGGAGCCCCTGGGCTTGCTTAGGCTGCGGGGAGTGCAGTGGAGGAGCCCCTGCCCGGCCGTGGGACCCCGCAGCTGACAGGGCAGGAGGCACCGTGCACTGCGGGCTGGCATGCGGGGAACAGCGCGGGACAGGCTGCCCCGGGCACGGGGTAGCCGTACCAGGGGGATGTCGGGGGCTAGTCTGCTCTGGGCGCTGGCCACCAGGGCGCCCGGGACGCCGGGCTGAAAGGAGGCATGGTCCCGCTCCCTTCCTCACTCCCCGGAGCCTTTCTCCGGCCGGCACCGACGCCTCTGCCACGTTCGGCATCAGCTGTTCCCTGGTCCTGCTGAAGTGTTTCGGGGAAAGTGCCCGGGGAGCCTCTGCGGGAGCCCCGGCCGGGGGCGTGCTCGTTTTCGGGGAATGCTCCCTGCGGCATGAGTCATGAGGGAAACCCTGGAAGGATGCCGCGGGACAGCGCACCTCTCTGGCCCGCTGAGCTGAGGACCAGCCAGGGCAGCTTAGTCACCAGCGGGCGCCTGTCCGCTTGAGTGGGCTCCCGCCCTGCTCTCGTCTTGGATCTTTTCCTTTTCTCTGCTTCTCCTCGTCCTGCATCTCGCAGCCAGCCGGGGCCCCCGCCTCTTTGCCTTAATAGCTATTGCACTAAGGGAGATGCGTCTGCAAAGTGTCTGCAAAGCTGTAGCCGGGCTCGGGTAGCCCTCGACAACACTGGAGAGGGTGCTCACCTGTACTGCTCTCACAATGCTGCCAAACAAATTCCAGTTTCCTAAAGGATGTCTTGTTCTCATATTGTAGGAGGGGTTTTCTTAGCTTGCAAAGTCATGTGCTTATTCTTTGTCTAAAGATTTTTGTTTGAAGTTGCTAATGGGCTTCACGGAAGTTACTAAGTTGGTAAACTATCAATCTGTTAAATAGTTTTGTGTTTCTTTGCATAACTGGAGGTGCACCATAGCATAAAGGTCACCTTAGGTGAGTTTCATTGTACACCAGAGAACCAGCATCATAACCAGTGAAAAGCCTATTTGTGCCATGAATTCAGTGTAACACTAATCTAAGGTCCAGGAACGTGGTATTTTTTTACTTTTCACTGTTCATTTGTCTTTAATGAACAGGACATAAACCCCTGTGAATAGCTAAATAAAGGTGTTTATTTGCCTCTACCAAACAGGATATAGGAAACTTGTGTGTAGATAAAGGGAGCAATTATGTTTTAATGCAAAAGACAAGGGGTTGAAATTCTTTTCCACCACTGGTAGTATGCACAGGCTTTTATTTCTGAAGCTGTGTCTCCAAAGATAGAACAAAGTTGCAAAAGACACTGGCTATATACTCTGATTAGCAAATTAAAAAAATGTGATTTTTAAAGAGACCAGAAATACGCTTGGCTGTAAAAGACAATTTGGCATTGAAAACATGCTTGTAAATAAGTTCAAATGGAAGTCTATTAGGTAAAAGGGAATTAGCTTCTTCTTCAACCACTTTTTTTTAATGGAAAATTTATGTAAATAAATACTATCTCTCAAAAACTTTGCTAATCTCTTCATTTGCATGAAGCAGTAAACCTCCAAAATGTCGAATTATGATGAATATGTGTTCAAGTTTGTTTTCTAGTTTAAATTATTCCAAAAGAAAATATCAGTTACTGACATATGTACCAGAGAGGCAGGGGATAAAAGAGGATATTAGAAAAATCTGTTCATTTTTATAACCATAGCAATTCAAAATTTTTACTTGCTTCAGCCAAGGGTGCTGTGGCCTCGCTTTTGACAGCAGCTTTTGACTGGAGCAATTGGCCAAATATAAGGGACTTGGAAGTGGTTCCATCAAGAAAAATAATTTTTCTGATGGATCTTTATACTTACAATACACCTACTTTCCTCCTTAATCCCTGTTTCCTGGTTGAATTGAAGACCTCACATTTGTGGTGATGCTTGAGCAACAGGAAGATGGAATTGAGAAACAGCTGTTGCTATTTTGCTGCAGGTTGAGATGGTATCTGTGGGTAGGACTGCTTCCAGCACTCATCAGGAGAAGAAGAAAGAAAATATGAAGTCACTGACTTTGGTACACATTTCTAATCAATATTATTATATTTTTGGCATTATAATTTGTTATTTTGTCTTGTATTTGCTGAGCCACCTTTGACTCTTACATCTTGGTACATGTAGC